TCATGAGGGAGGGGAGGTGGGAAGGAAGGAGAAAAATGAGGAGCTGATACTAAGGGCTCAAGGGGAAAGAAAATGTTTTGAGAACCATGAGGGCAACAAATGTACAAATGTGCTTGACACAATGGATGTATGTATAGATTGTGATAAGTTATAAGAACCCCCAATAAAATGATTTAAAAAAAAAGATTCACCTTCTTCAATTCTGTCATTACTTTGGCCAAGTCCGAACATGGAAACAGAAGGCACAAAAATGATGAAAATAAGGAAGAAATGGGTAGCGGGGCCACAGGGTGCTAACCCACCCAAGGGGAGGGTATTGTTTATATCTCCACAGGGAAAGAGGGACCAGACTTCAGCCCAGTGCCCCAAGGTATGAATGCAACATTCCACGTGGAGTAGGGAACCAGTGGAGAGGTCTGGGGGGCTGGCCCCAGTCCCAAATACTAAGTGGATGCCTGCCCCTCCCCCCAGAACAATTTATTTCAAAGGACGGCACTGAATCTGCAGCTCCAGGAGAAGGACATATCTGATCGGAGCACACGGGAGCAGATGAAGGGAGAGTAGGAGTGGAGCATATCCTGGCACACCAGGCCTTGAGGACGATGACCCCAATAAGAGCAGCCAGTCCAAAGAGGACCACATGGCCGGTCCAACTAGGAGACATGACGCCCCTCACTGACCCATGACCCTGCGGGGGACAGCACCGGAGACACAGTGTGGGAATTGCACCCGATCTGATCCCGCCACACCAAGGCAAAGCACTGGGGGAGTGCAGCGGAACAGCAAGGGAATGGAGTGGCAAGGTCCCCAGGGAATGCTGAAGGTGGACTTCGGGGCCAGGGTGTGGTGTCCAACAGACTGGATTGGAAAACACTCCTAAAGGCCAACAAACAATCCTTGAACTAACCACAAGCTTTTCTTTCTTGTTGTGTTTTGTTCTTTGGTAGTGGTTTGTTGTTGTTTTGTTGTATATTGTTGCTTGGTTTTGTTCTGTCTTGTTTTTGTGCATGTTATTATCTCTGCAGCTCCATCTAAATAAGATAGGCTGGAGGCGAAAACAACGGGACTGACAGTTGGGGGTGCGGGGGGGAATGGG